CCTGTGTTCCTCTCTGTCTGTCTCTTTTCCTTCCTTTCCTTAAAGCAGACCTTTTAGTATTTCTTGTAGAGCTGGCTTGGTGGCAGCAAATTCTTTTAGACTTCTTTTGTCTTGGAAGCTCTTTATTTGGCCTTCTATCTTGATTGAGAGCCTTGCTGGGTAAAGTAGTCTTGGTTGTAGGCCTCTGTTTCTCATTACTTGGAATATTTCTTGCCAATCTCTTCTTGCTTGGAGTGTTTCCATTGAGAAGTCAGTGGCTAACCTTATCAGGATTCCCTTGTATGTTATTTCTTTTTTCTCCCTTGCTGCCTTTAAGATTCTCTCTTTGTCTTGGAATTTTGCCATTTTAATGGTGATGTGTCTTGAAGTGGGCCTCTTTGGGTTCCTCTTGAATGGGACTCTGTGTGATTCCTGGATTTGTGTGACTTTTTCTTTTGTCAAATTAGGGAAATTTTCTCTCATTACTCTTTCAAATATGTTTTCTATCCCTTGTTCTTCTTCTTCTCCTTCTGGTATTCCTATTATTCGGATATTATTACGTTTCATATTGTCTTGCATTTCTCTTAATCTCTCTTCATTCTTTCTGAGCCTCTTTTCCCTTTCCTGTTCTTTCTGTGAGATGCTTTCTACTTTGTCCTCCAATTCACTAATCCGATCTTCTGTTTCATCCACCCTATTTTTAATGCTTTCCACTGTGTTTTTTAATTCAGAAATTGTATTCTTCATTTCCTCTTGGCCCTTGCTAATAATTTCCATTTCCTTTTTCATGTTGATATAGTTCACAGTGAGATCACTGTAGCTTCCCTGTAGTTTCTGGTAGTTGATTGTGAGCTCTTTGAACTTCCTGATCACCAGTGCTTTGAATTCAGTATCTGATAGTTGACTTGCTTCTGTTTCATCTAACATTCTTTCTGAGGATTCCTCCTTTCCTTTCATTTGGGGATTGTTTCTTTGTCTTCCCATTGTTTGTGAGACTCTTCTTGTTAGCCTCAGCTTCTTAGATTAATCTGTTTTGACACCCTGGGTTTATGGTATGAACTTTTGTGGTGGAATGCCTGTGAATTTCAATGGTGCAGCCTCTTTTGGTTATCCTGTTGTTTTCTGCTTCCACCTACTCAAATATGCAGCAACCTGTGGCTTCTCTCCCACAACAATGTGCAATTTGTCTCTCTGACTCTACTATTGGGAGGCCTCTTCTATGGGTCCATCTCTGGTCTTTTTATATTTTCAAGTTGATTGTGACTCTTGTGGGTAAAAGAAAGAAATGATAAGGAAAGAAATAAGAGGAAGAAAGAAAAAAGTGGTAGGGGAATGGAAGAAAGAGCAATAAGTTTAGAAAGAAAAGAAAAAGAAATAAAACAGAAAATCCGGGAAAAGAGGACAAAAGTATGGAAAGATGAAACAGTAATAAAGTTTTAAAGAAATAACAGATTACTTTAAAAAAGCAAAAAGATAAAGAAAAGGAATGGAGAAGGAAGAAGGGTAGATTAAAAAAGAAAGAATAAAGATAAAATAAAGTAAAAAAAACAAAAAAGGCACAAAAATAATCTCTCAAAAACAACCTCAGAAAAAGGAATTTCACTTGTTGGCTTCAAACTAGCCAAACCGGTTTTTCTGGTTGCAGTTGGCTGAGGGTCGATTGTTGTGATTTTTTTTTTCAGCCAGCCCCTCTCAGGATCCAGACACTTGGCGCCTCTCCCCCAGCTCCCTACAATGGGGAACTAGGACTTTCTCGCAGCGCTCCCCTCCCAGGGGTTACTGCCATAGTCTGGTTTGCTGTGTTTGCAGGCACCTGCACCGGTCTAGTTGCCTGGTTCCCTCGGGATTGAGCACAGGCCTGCCCCCGTTCAGTTGGGAAGCCCCAGACCCTCTGCCCAATCCTGGGCTTGCTGCCAAGCTGGGTGTGAAGCAGACCAGGCTGCCGTGGCTACTGGATTCAGAGCCCCAGGCTGCACCTCTGAGTTTTCCTGGGCTGGTAACCACAGAGTCTTTGGTTGGGGCCCTTTGTCCTCCGCACCCTCTCTGTAAACTCTATCAAACAGGTCTCTCCTGGCCCCCCACCTTGCTTGGCCAGAAAGGGAGGGGGTTGAGGGTCTCAGCTCTTTTCCCAGGACCCCTCAGCGTCCCGGGCTTCCAGATAGTCTGAGGGGGGGTAGACTGGAAGCTGGGAGCAGATCTGAGGACTGGGCGCCGACCTAGAAACTCTGTGTGCTCGTCCTGGCACGCTGCGTGGTGTGTATCCCTTCTGCTCCTGTGTTTGTCTGGGTCCCCTGGCCAACATCTGGCAAAAAAACAAACAAAAAAACCCCCCAAAAACAAACAAACAAACAAAAAAAACAAAAAAACCCCTAGGGATGTAGCAGCACCATGCCGGGTGCTGGACCCAGAACCGTGTGCAGGCTGAAATCTCCTCTGCTCCCCTCTGGTTGGGTCCTCCGGCCTGTCCAGGCCCAAAAATCCTAGGGAGGGAGCTTTCCGGGCGCTGAACGTTGGCCTAGGCGCCCTCAGGCACTGGCCCAGACACACTGCGTGTGGAGTGACTAGCTCCCCAAATTGCGGGCAGGCTGAAGTTTCCTCCACACCTCTTTGCCTGGGCCACTCGGCCTGCCCGGCAGAAAAATTCCAGGGAGGGAGCCGTCGGGGCGCTGAACGCTGACCCAGGCGCCTTTAGGCACTCTCCCAGACACAGTTCCCACCAGGCGCTGGACCTCCGAGCTATGCACAGACTGAAATCACCTCTGCTCCCCTCTGGTTGGGCCACTTGGCAGGTCCCCGGCCCAAAAATCCTAGGGAGGGAGCTTTCCGGGCGCTGAACGTTGGCCTTGGCGCCCTCAGGCACTGGCCCAGACACACTGCGTGTGGAGTGACTAGCTCCCCAAATTGCGCGCAGTCTGAAATTTCTTCCACACCTCTCCGCCTGGGCCACTTGGCCTGCCCGGCAGAAAAATTCCAGGGAGGGAGCAGTCCGGGCGCTGAAGGCTGCCCCAGGAGCCGTTTGGCTCTGGCCACAGGGCGCTGGTTCCCCTACCCTGCACCGGCTGTTTCTCCCTGCTCCGTCCCAGAGACTACTGTACCGTTGCTGTCTCCCTACCGTCTGGTTCCTCCGTGACCGATCTGGTTGTTTTCTTAGAAGCTCTTTTTATACTGGAGATTATAAAGAGATTAACTTGGTAATAAAAATTACAAATATTTTTCCCAATATTTTTTTTGCTCATGTAGTTTATTTGCATGTAAAGTTTTTAAAAATATATAACTAGATTTATCACTTTTTTATTGCTTCTGGATTTTGTGTTATAGGAACATTTTCCCTACTCCCAGATTATGGATGAGTTATAATTTTTTTCCTTTTAGTTCTTATGTTTTACTCTTTCCATTTAAATTTCTGATTTATTGGGAAGTTATGGTACATGGCATGAGGATTGAATCTAATTTTTCTTTTTTTTTTTGAATCTAATTTTTCAATATCACTGTCCAACTGTATCAGTCCAACTTGTGAGTCCATTTTTTCCCAATTGACATAGCTTTTATTTCCATATGTAATTAGTTTATTTCTAGACTTTCCATTCTATTCCATTGGTTTGTCTGTCTGTTCATGTCCTAGTATTAATTTTAGTTTTAGAAAGTTTTCATAGGTTCCAATAACTGATGGAGCTGGCTATCTTCTTTTTAAAGAGGTTTTTCTATTTATTCTTGTTTGTTCTTTCCATTGAACTTTTTAATCAGTTTTTCTAGCTCTGGAAAGTAACTTGAGGCATTTTAATACCATTATTTTACATTTTTTAATTTATAAAGGGAAAACTAGTATCTTTATGATTTGAATTTTACTATCTAAGAATAAGGTATGTATTTTTGTCCATGTATATATTTTTTAATCTTTTAGGAGTTAAGACACACATAATTTCAGGCATTTCTATCACTTGATATAACTTTAACATAATATTGTGGATTTATTTTGAGGTTTTATACTCTTTTTTTCAGTCTTGAGCCTTATACTTCTTAGGATGAAATTTCCCATTTATACTTTCTATCACAATTTCTGTAGTAGGGAAAACCTCTCCCAAGGTACACTTTAGATGTTCTCAAAATCTGGCTTGTTCTACCTGGAAGAGGACCCTAATTTTGTTGGGTTATGGTCATTCCAGAGGAGATAATTAGAAACCTATGTAAGTATGAGTATTTGTCCCCTGATTGCTTGGGGACTGTTGTCAATGAGTTAGCAGCCTAACAATATTACTTGAATTTCTGCCGTCTCTGTTGGATATTGTCATTGCCAGATGTACATTGTTATTAAAAAGTCAGAGTGTTTAATACCATGGGGAAGACATGAGAAAAGTTTGTAACTCGGGTATTTGCTCTTGATACTCAGGATGCTGTAGGAGGAAATGCAAGGAACAATGCTACTTCCAGAGAAGACATATAACATAGTGATCTCTATCAGAATCCCAAAAAGATAAAGCCATTAAAAAAATTAAGCCAGATTTTATACCAATAGTCTGAGAGAGGCCCTGTAGTTTTTTTATTTAGTATATGCAAAAAATACACTTCTTTCCTCTGTACTTTGTGAGTGAGGGACACACACACACATACCCCTGAGAGTTCCCCAAGACTTGGTATTTGGTAAAATGATGGTAAAGATTAGTACATATTGAGCTTTCCTGTGTTACCTGCCTTTTGTTTGGTATCTGACACAGAAACTATTGAGATGATTCAAAGTGTTTAAAAGGTCTCATTTTTGTATGTATTTAAGATGACTTCTGACTCTAAAGCTGATATTCCACATTAGTACCAATTTCTTTAAAAATTTTGCATCTTGTCTATCCTGTTTTCTTATCCATCCCTCTTTCTCCCACCCCTCATGAATAGTTACTTTATAGGGAGGAAGGGCAATATACATAAATTAAGGTTGGAGAATAAATTGTGCAGGATTCATTGAGGAAGAAAATACGAGGGTTACCATTTCTTTTTGGAGCTGATTCCATGTATGTGACCATCCTGTATAGATGGAGTTGTTTATGCCTGGGGCCACAATGGATATAGCCAGCTTGGGAATGGGACAACCAACCAAGGCATTGCTCCCATCCAAGTCTGTACCAATCTCTTGATCAAGCAAGTGGTTGAAGTAGCTTGTGGCTCACATCATTCAGTGGCTCTGGCAGCTGATGGAGAGGTAAGTGCCTTGCTTTTATTCTTTATTTTTAAAACTGTGGTAAAATACTCATAATATAAAATTTACCATCTTACCCATTTTAAGTGTACAGTTCAGGGCCACTGAGTACTTTCACATTGTTGTGTAAACATCACTACCATTCATCCACAGAACTTTTTTTTGTTTTAGATTTTATGTATTTACTTTTAGACAGAGGGGAAGGGAGGGAGAAAGAGAAGGAGACAAACAACAATGTGTGGTTGCCTCTTGCGCATCCCCCACTGGGGACATGGCCCGCAACCCAGGCATGTGCCCTAGACTAGGAATTGAACCAGTGACCCTTAGATTGGCAGACTGGCACTCAATCACTGAGACACACCAGCCAGGGCCACAGAACTCCTTTTCACCTTGCCAAAATGAAGTTTTGTACCCATTAAACATTAACTCTCCACTTCCTCTTCCCAGGGCCCCGGCAATCACTTTCTGTATCTGTGAGTCGAATGATACAGTATTTGTCCTTTTGTGACTGCTTTATTTCACTTAGCAATGTTTTCAAGGTTTATCTATGTGGTAGCACATGTCAGAATTTCCTTCCTTTTTAAAGGCTAAAAATATTCCCTTGTATGTGTATACCACATTTTATTCATTTATCTGTTGATAGATATTTGGGTTGTTTCTACCTTTAAAGTATTGTGAGAGTGCTTTGCTTTAAAAAAAAAAAATGACTGTATTTTACTTGGTATAATGTGAACGTAGTAGCCCTCTGTGCATAGCTAAAAACATTGTAGGAACACATTCTTTTTCTAACACATCCTGTATTATGTGATTAGGACTACTCTTTTGATGACAGACTTAGTCTTAAGGCAGCCGAGTCTTGTGCTGTTTGCTAAGATTACAGATTCAAGTGTTTCAGTGTTATGTACTTATTTTTAAAAAATGACCCCATCCCTTAAGGTGTATTTTGCTTTTCAGTAAATGTAATGATATCATAGAAAATAACATTCACCATACAAGTTTCATCCTTATCTTAAAGGTTACTCATTGTATCGATTCTACTTTCCAATCTCATATCATTTTGTTTCTCTCCATCTCTGTAACCTTTGGTCAGGCCTTGTCATCTGCCTGGACTATTGCTATGATCTCTCTTATTCCATAGATTTTTAATTGGTCTACTTGTCCAGTATTACTTCTCCATCTTCTGTGATTTCTAAAACACAAATCAGATTATATTGTTCCCTGTTTATTTATTTATTTATTTATTATTTATTTATTTATCTTCAGAGGGGAAGGGGGGGGGAGAAACATCAATGTATGGTTGTCTCTAGTGTATCCCCTGCAGGGAACGGGCCTGCAACCCAGGCATGTGCCCTGACTGGGAATCGAACCGCGATCCTCTGGTTCTCAGGCCCGCGCTCAATCCACTGAGCTACACCAGCCAGGGCTTGTTCCCTGTTTAAAGTCCTTCAGTTGTCTTACAGTGATTTTTGTGAAATAGGATGAGTTATTCATGAAGAAACCAAAACATCTCAGTGAAATTGAGGTTTCTTTGCTGGAATATGCTGGGGTTAGACTAGCATGTCAGCCTTATGATCCAGAACCCACTATCTCCTAGTCTGTTTCTTGATTAATACAACTACAGTCCCCATTTTTAAAAAAGCTGCCTTACAAGGGAACTGGGGATGTTTGAGAAGTGCCAGAAAAATGATTGTTGAAATTAGAACTTGCTAATTTGTACAGTTTAGGTTCCTGGTAATATTCACCTTAAACATATGTTACTTTGGGTCATTATGCTAAATATTTGTATTATTATACTAGATATTCCTGTGAATCCACTTTCAGTAATTGTTCTCCTAGTCTAGAAGTTATTTCCTCTGCTGCCAACATTCCCCTTCTGATTCTTTTCTCTGATCACATTCCTGTTTGATAGAACAGAATGTTGGTATTTAACTTAAAGTGGCTTTTTTGGTTCTTTTTCATCTTTGTTACTAGATTTTAACTAGCTTAGAGATCTGTTTGTGTCTCCCTCCCCCATAGAAATATGATTTTTAGCTTATGGCGGATCATAGGCCAAAAGTAATAAGTAGGATGCAGTTGAGGAGGGGAGCTGCTTGGAGCTAAGAGACAGCAAATGAGAACTCAGAGAGAGATAATATTACCAAGAATAGACAGATAGCGTGGTGTCATTTCTGCAGGGATAAAATGTCTCCATAGTACTTGGGAGCATTACTGTGTTATCATGCAGAATTATGATTGATAATTATAATCCTGATGGTCCTGAATCATCAGAAAAGGTTATGAATGTCCAGCATTGGTGATTAGTGAAACAGGGAAAAAGCACAGTATGGTTTCAAAAGGTTCCATGAAAAAAAAAAAAGAATATTTATGGCCAAAGAGTTAAGGAGAATTTTTCATGTCACTTTACTTATGTAGTGTATACTTCATTTCTTATTTATGCCAGATTAAAAAACATATATAGCTACCATTATTATAGAGGCAATACAGCATAGTGCTTAAGAACACAGCTGGACTTTGTTAGGTTCAAATTCCACTTCTACTACTTACTAACTATGGAACCTCAAGCAAGTTACTTAACCTGTGTTTCCATATATAAAATGGGGACGATAATAGTGTCTATCCCAGGGTCACCCTATATGATTGCTATGAGGATTAAATAGGTTAATGCAATAAAGCATGTAGAGCCCTTTAGCACATTGTAAGTACTCTTCGAAGTGGGTTTATTTTTGTTTTGTGATTTTTATTGTAGTTAGATGTAGAATTTTTACCCTTACTATTCCTTCCCTTTTTCCCCCTTCTCTTATATAGGTATTTGCTTGGGGCTATAACAACTGTGGCCAGGTGGGATCTGGATCCACAGCAAATCAACCAACTCCTCGAAAAGTTACAAACTGTTTACATATTAAGAGGGTAGTAGGCATTGCCTGTGGTCAGACCTCATCCATGGCTGTTCTGGACAATGGTGAGGTGAGCTGTATCTGCATTCCCCTTCCACCTCCCCATCTCTTTCAGTGAAATGTCTATTTTTTTATGATGTGTGTGTATTAATTCATGGAAGGAAGAGCGCTTTGCTTGGATGACCCTATTGAGAATTAACTGGTTACTGACTGAGGAGTTACCAGAAAAGTAACTCCTTAGTGTGAATTTTTAAATTCCAAGATTTGTTTGCAAGTAAAGATTCTAATTTTTCTTAAGTTTTCTTTTCTTTTTTTATTATTTTTCTCAATATCACTAATCATAAGAGAAATGTAATTTATATATATTATTTTATTTATTTATTTAATTGTTCAAGTGCAGTTGTCTTCATTTGACCCCCATCACTCCAGCCATCCCCACTCCCCACCCTTGATCCTACCCCTCTTTGGTTTGTCCATATGTCCATTGCACATGTTCCTGAAAACACTTTCCCCTTTCCCCCTCATTATCTCTTCCCACCTCTCCTCTGGTTACTGTCTTTTTAATTTCAATGTCTCTGATTGTATTTTTGCTTACTTGCTTGTTTTGTTGATTAGGTTTCATTTATAGATGATATCATATGGTATTTGTCCCTCACTGCCTGGCTTATTTCACTTAGCATAATGCTTTTAGTTCCATCTATGCTGTTGCAAAGGGTAGGAGCTGTTTCTTTCTGCTATGTAGTATTCCTTTGTGTAAATGTACCATAGTTTTTTGGTCCATTCATTTACTGATGGGCACTTAGGTTGCTTCTAGTACTTGGCTATTGTAAATTGTGCTGCTATTAACTTTGGGGTGCATAGGATCTTTTAATTGGAGTTTCAGGGTTCTTAGGGTATAATCCCAAAGGTGAAATTGGTGGGTCAGAGAGCAGATCCATTTTTAGTTTTCTGAGGAAATTCCATACTCTTTTCCACAGTGTCTGCACCAGTCCGCATTCCCACCAACACTAAACTAGGGTTCCCTTTTCTCCACATCCTCTCAGCACTTGTTGTTTGTTGATTTGTTTATGATAGACATTCTGAGTGGTGTGAATGGTATCTCATTGTGGTTTTAATGTGCATCTCTGATGGCTAGTGATGCTGCATCTTTTCATATGCTTCTGAACCTTCTTTATGTCCTCCTTAGAGAAGTGCCTGTTCAGGTCCTTTGTTCATTTTTATTGGGTTTTTTGTCTTCCTAGAGTGGAGTTGTGTGAATTCTCTGTATATTTTGTAGATCAAAACCTTGTCCAAGTGTTCACAAAACATTGGCAAATATGTTTTCCCATACAGTTGGTTCTCTTTTCATTTTAATGCTGTTTTCTTTAGCTATGCAGGAGCTTTTTATTTTTATGAGATCCCATTTATTTATTATTTTCTTTATATCCCTTGCTGTAGGGGACATAACAGTGTAAATATTGCTATATGAAGTATCTGAGATTTTCCTGCCTATTCTCCTGTAGCACTTTTATGGTGTCACAACTTATATTTACATCTTTTATCCATCTTAAATTTATTTTTGTGTATCATGTAAGTTGGTAATTGAGTTTCATTTTTTTGCATGTAGTTGTCAAGGTCTCCCAACACCATTAGTTGAAGAGGCTATGTTTACTCCATTTTATGCTTCTTCCCACTGTGTCAAATATTAATTGAGCATAGAGACTTGGGTTTGTTTCTGGTCTCTCTATTCTGTTCCATTGGTCTATATATCTTTTCTTATGCCAGTACCAGACTGTTTGATTACAGTGGCTCTGTAATACAGTTTGATATAGATATTGTGATCCCTCCTGCTTTGTCCTTCTTTCTCAAAATTGTTGCAGCTATTAGGGGTCATTATGGTTCCATATAAATTTTGGAAGTGTTTGTTCTATATCTGTGATATGACATTGGTATTTTAATAGGGATTACATTGAATCTACAAATTGGTTTGGGTAGTATGGCCATTTTGATAATGTTAATTCTTCCAATCCATGAACATGGTATATGCTTACATTTGTTTGTGTCTTCTTTGATTTCTGTCTTCAGTGTATTGTAGTTTTCTGAATATAGGTCTTTTACCTCTTAGTTAGGTTTATCCTTGGGTAGTTTATTTTTCTTGTTGCTATATTAAATGGTATTTTTTTCCTGATTTCTTTTTCTGATATTTCATTGTTGGTGTACATTAGCACCATTGATTTCTGAATATTGACTTTGTATCCCACTGTTTTTGCCAAATTCCCTTATTAGATAGAGTAGTTTTTTGGTGGAGTCTATACGATTTTCTATGTACACTATCATGTCATATGCAAACAATGACAGTTTTGCTTCCTACTTTTCAATTTACATGCCTTTTATTTCTTCTCTGATTCCTGTGGCTAAGTCTTCCAATACTATGTTGAATAGAAAATGGAAGTGGACATCCTTGTCTTCTTCCTGATCTTAGTGGGAAAGCTTTTAGTTTTTGCCCATTGGATATGATGTTGGCTGTAGATCTCTCATATGTAGCCTTTATTAGAACACTCCCTGTACTCCCACCTTGCTGCGTGTTTTAATCATAAATGGGTGCTGTACCTTATCAAATGCTTTTTCCGCTCTACTGATATGATCATGTGATTTTTGTCTTTGCTTTTGTTTATGTGATATTTTACATTTATTGATTTGCAAATATAGTACTATCCTTGCATCCCTGGGATAAATCCCCCTTGGTCGTGGTGTATGATCTTTCTGACATATTGCTGGGTACAGTTTGCCAATATTTTGTTGATGATTTTAGCGTCTATATTCATCGGCAATACTGGCCTGATGTTTTCTTTCTTTGTTATATCTTTATCTGGTTTTGGGATTAGGATCTTATAATTCTTCTCTTAGTCTCTGTGTCATTTATCTGTGCTCTGATCTTGGTTGTTTCCTTCCTTCTACTTGCTCTGGGTTGTCTTTGTTGTTGTTCCTGCAATTCTTGTAGATCTAGGCTTAGGTTGGTTATTTGAGATGTTTCTATCTTTTTTAGTAGGCCTGTATTGCTATGAACTTTCCTATCCGGACTACCTTCACTGTACCCCATAAGTTTTGGACTGTTGTGAATTCATTTTCATTTGTTTCCAGAAACATTTTGATTTCTCCCTTTGTGACATTCTTAACACATTCATTGTTTAATGGCATGCTATTCAATCTCCATAAATTTGAGTATTTTTTAGTTTTTTTTCCTTGATGTTCATTTCTAGTTTCAGTCCCTTGTGGTCAGAGAAAATGCTTGCTATGTTTTCAGTGTTCTTGAACTTTTTGAGGCTTGTTTTGTGTCCTATCACATAGGGTATCTGTTAAAATGTTCCATGTGCATTTGAAATGAATGCGTATTTTGTTTCTTTGGGATGAAAGGTTCTATATGTATCAGTTAATGTCCGTTTGTCCTAGGGCACTGTTCAATGCTTCACTTTACTGATATTTTGTTTGGAAGATCTGTCCATTTTTGACAGTGGGGTTAAAATCCCCTACTATAACTGTGTTGCTGTCAATATCTTTCTTGAAGTCTTCCAAGATTTTCTTTATGTATTCGGGTGTTTCTATGTTGTGTGCATATATATTTACAATGTTTATGTGTTTTTGATGGATTCTTCCCTTGAGTATTGTGAAGTGACCTTCTGGGTCTCTTTTTATGCCTGTTTTTTTGAAGTCTGTTTTGTGTGATATGAGAATTGCTACCCCAGCTTTTTTTTCCTGTCCATTTGCTTGGAATATTTTTTTTCCAACCCATCACTTTCAGTCTGTGTATGTCTTTTGTTCTGAGGTGCGTTTCTTGTAGCCAGCATTTGTGTGGGTTGTGTTTTCTTACCCATTTAACTACTCTTTGTGTTTTGATTGGAGCATTAAATCCACTAACATTTAAGGTTATTATTGATACATACTTATTCATTTTTTCCCCCTTTATACCTGTGTTCCTCTCTGTCTCACTCTTTTCCTTTCTCTTCTTATAGTAGTTTGTTTAGTATATCTTGTATTATTGGTTTGGTGGGGATGTATTATTTCAGCCTTCTTTTTTCTAGGAAATTTCTTATTTCACCTTCCATTTTAATTGAGAGCCTCGCTGGGTAGAGTAATATTGGTTGCAGGTATTTGTTTTTCATTACTTGGAATATCTCTTGCCATTCTCTCCTGGATTGGAGTGTTTCTTTTGAGAATTCAGCTCCTAGTCTTACCAGAGCCCCTTTGTATGTTACTTCTTGGTTCTCTGCTGTTAAGATTCTCTCTTTGTCTTTAAAACTTGGCTATTTAATTGTACCTCTTTTAGTAGGTCTCTTTGGGTTCGTCTTGATTGGGTGTCTCTATGCAAGTTCTCTGAACTTGCATGTTCTTTTTCCTCTTCAGGTTCAGAAAGTTTTCTATCAGTATTTTTTCAAACAGGGCTTCTATCCCTTTTTCCTTTTCTTCCCCTTATGATATTCCTATGATTCAAATGTTGTTGCATTTCATGTTATCTTGGAGTTCCCTTAAGCTATCTTCATAAATTTTGAGTCTTTTTTTGTGCAGCTGCTCTACCTGGGTGTTTCTTTCTACCTTCTCTTCCAGCTCAGTAATATGATCCTCTGCTTCATCCAGCTTGCTTGTAATTCCTTCTAGTGTGTGTTTTATTTCTGAAGTTTTATTTTTCACTTCTTCCTGGTTTTTCATTATAGGTTTTAAAAAATATATTTTATTGATTATGCCATTACAGTTGTCCCATTCACCCCCTTTATTCCCCTCCACCCTGCATACATGCTCCACCACCATTCCCTCCTTTTAGTTTATGTCCATGTGTCACAAGTTCTTTAGATTCTGTATTTCCCATACTATTCTTGCCCTCCCCCCTGTTTATTTTCTACCTACCATCTATGCTACTTATTTTCTGTACCTTCTCCCCCCTTCTCCTCCTCCCACTCCCTTGTTACTAACCCTCCATGTGATTTTCATTTCAGTGGGTCCCCTCCTGATCTAGCTGTCCTCTTAGTTTGCTCTTGTGTTAGGTGTGGTTGTTAATAACTGTGAGTTTGCTGTCCTTTCACTGTTCATATTTTTATC